GAGTACAAATCTTGCCCTCCTTTAATTTCGTTATATCGCTCTTTTAATTTCGTTATATCGAGGTTCTTTTCCAAATATTTTACTATTACTGGGGTAAAGAAAAGTGTTGCTTATTCCAAGTGCTTGTAGCATACTGTAGGAGGGAAGTGCATAGCCACCTGCTTACAGACGGACCTTTCATAGATTGTGCTAGTAAAAGTAGTATATTATGCCTGTAGCACTGCTCTTTTTTTGGCCAAATTATGTTAAAATTATGCTCGTTGTTCCAAATTATGCATTTTTTTTTTAAATTGTGCTCTTAAAAACCATGGCAAATAAGTCCAAAATAATCAGAAGCCGTATATTCTTGTTACCTATAATTTATACCGGTCTCTGGCAATTGTGGCTTGTTCTGGCCCTTCATTTCTCTGAGGTAGCTGTAGTAAGTTTTCGCTCGAATCGGCTGGCATAGCTGACGCCATTTTGTAGCCTTGCCTATGAGAGGTATTGGGACCGACATGGTTTCCCATGGGACTTGCGGTTCCAGTACACCCTAGTCCCAGCCCCCCATTTCCGGCCTCAGTAAACTGCAAATACTGCTAAAACATCGAAAAACGTCAGCGTATAATTGGGATTTGGGAATCAACATGCCTGTGAAAACCCAAAAATGTTCCGATAATTATCAAAATATACGAATTATGCTAGCAGTACTACGTTTTAAAAAATGGGGAAAATTATGCTAGTTTTCTCAAATTATGCTAAAAATTATGCTAGCACAATCTATAAAAGCCTATTCCTACATACCAGCAAGGTTAGATTATTACGTCTGTAATGCAGGCTATGAAATGCTATATCCGATGTTCCCATCCTATCTAAAATTTTCCCCGCCCTCGTTCATAATTCCCTTTAAAAAATACAATCTCTTCTCCCATCTTTCTCTTATTTGAAAGGTATATTTATTTCTCGGTAGCTCACGTTATCATCGAAAATTGACAAACTTGAAATCACTTTTGTTCAATCAAGGAATGGAAAATTTAAACCCATATGATTCAAGAAATGGATAATAAAATCAGCATCAGTTTGTTTTATTTAGTTCCTTCAATTTCATAAGGATTTTTCTGAAGCAAGTTGTTACCTGACACAGGACTGATCTATTTACCTTCTCAACAGTTGTTGCACGTTTTCTTGCATACGTCTTGAGGAAAAGTATTATTACAGTAGTTGTGTTGCAAAAAATATGAGCAATACGACTGAGGCCATTCATCTTCACAGGACGCTTAAAAATAATGATAATAATGATATTACTATTGTATTGGCCCATCCCAAGAAAAAAAATGCCCTGCCGCCAGGGAGTAATAACAGGAAAAAATAGAAGCTGGGATCAACTGTCTGCTGATTAAAAGGAAAGAAATTGTATATACACATCTTTATTCCGGCCAAAGACAAAAATTTGAGATTTCAAATAGGTTTGAGATATTGAATCTTTAAACCGACGTTAAATCTTCCTCTTACGTACTTCTCAGAGATATGGCTGATAATTTACAGGTTACCTAATTTCAATATGCTCCCTTCAGCTCCTGCTAACAGAATTTTTCAAAAGGTAACTGTTTCGTGTTTACAGAAAGTTGATCACGTGACCACCTGTTGCAAAAGGCTTTGTTACCTCTCTTCGACTTTCTGAATGAAGTCTCCATATCCAAGTTAAAGTGAATATATTACTTTACACTAAAACGTCACCTCGGGTAGGAATGCGGTTTCATAGTTTGTTCGTTTCGTATTTTAGTTAGAATTGCCTTGGTTAGGGGGAAAACGATAGAAATCGAAACAAAAATAAAATAAGAAATAAATAAGTACATAACGCACTAGAAGTTGCATCCAAAACAGATTTTACAGAGAGCTCCTCTGTTATATGCACACGCACATATTAGCAGTAAGAAAAATTTCCACTAATATTAAAGAATACTTACAGTCGCCACCTTGGTCTCCTAAAAAAATATAGTAAATAACAAGTTCATTTAGCGAAGAGTTAAAAAAAGGAAGGCAAACCCTTGAATATCGGTCTTAGGGCTGGTTTTCACTAGCGACGGAGTCGGAGTCGGAATCGTAAGCAGAGTGTTAGCGGAGTCAAAAATCGGAGCCGTAAGCGGAGCCATAAGAGCGACGGCATCGGAGTCGAAGAATCAGAACGTTTCCATTTTCTTCCGAATTCGCTTATGACTCCATCGCTTACGATTTAGTGAAAACCAGGTTGTCGGAGTCAGAAGCAGAAGCAGAAGGATAAACCAATCCCAATGTACGTTCCCACACTTTGTGATTTGTTTAGTCCTTCCGCTTCTGCTTGCGACTCCGACAACCTAGTTTTTACTTGATTTTAAGAGACGGAGTCGAAAGCGGAATCAGAACGCTGTTTTCACTAGATCGCAAAGTCTTACGCTTCTGATTGCGACTCCGACTCCTACTCCATCGCAAGTGAAAACCAGCCTTTAGTTGGCGCCATGACGATCTGACGGAGATATAGATAGTTGACTTGTGCCACAATTTTACCACCTGTTCTTGCCAGTGTTAGTACTAACTCGTCCAGTTTAAACATCCAAGGCTGCTGCGCTTATTTAAAAGCACTTATTAGGTTTATTGCTTTTCAATATAAACTGATACTGATACTGATACGGATACTGATAATGACAATGATAATGACGATGATACCAATAATGATAATAACAATGATAATGACAATAATAGTGATAATGGCAATGATAATAGTAATGATAGTGATAGTGACAGTAATAATGATCATGATAGTGAAAACGATAATGATAATGATAGAACAAAACTCAGTGCAAGGCGGGCACTACGCCAAAGGGCTAATTTATCATAGGCCAATATTTCAGCTACCAAAATTAGCCTTCCTCAGTGCCAGACCTATACAGAGAGAAAATATCTTTTATAATGATGGTGATAATGATAGTAATAGTGATAATGATAACGATGACGATAGCGATAACGGAAATGGTAATGATAGTGATACTAAACAATTTTCACTGTCAGAGCAACCACTTATTACTGCCTTCGGGAAACTAAGTTATGGGAAGCGAGATCTTGTAAAGGCAGAGGGACCACTTATTACTGCTTTCGGGAAACTAAGTTATGGGAAGCGGGATCTTGTAAAGGCAGAGGGACCACTTATTACTGCCTTCGGGAAACTAAGTTATGGGAAGCGAGATTTTGCAAAGGCAGAGGGTCGTAAGACAGAGAACGGAGAGGGGTATACACGTCGCCGAAGGGGAGGTGGAAGGGTCAAAAATATAACCCGACTAAGAACGGCGTTATTACTTGACAAAAGATACTGTTTAAATGGGCAAAAGAACTTCCCCCGAGACTCCCCCACATGATTGTCTGTAATGGCCTGGGAGGCTAGGAGAATACCAGCATTGCGCGCAGGCCGAATCCGTGGTTATTCTAATAGAGAAAATAATAAACTATTTTCACTGTCAAAACAACCACTGACTGCCTTCGCTAAACTAAGTTATAGGAAGCGAGATTTTGCCAGAAAAGTTGCAATGTTAAACCGACACTTTAATGATACTCTCTCCAGAACTCAGGAAAAAAGGAATCCATTCCTCTTCACAACACTAGAACAACAAGCTAAAAGGTAAGAAGGAAAGAGGTCTGGTCCAGCTAGGGAGATTACCCTCCCAATCACACCAACAACTTCGTAACCCAAGCCTATTCAATTTGCTCGCAAAGGAACTGACGGTGCAAGTTGTAGATGAAAGGGAAAAAAAGGCGGGAAATAACTACCCTATTTACTCGAATAAGCGCTGCGTCGCTTAGTTTAATTTTCGTGTCTCTGGCACGGCGCTTATTGACTTTTCCACTCCATGTGCGGCGCTTAATCGAGGGCGGCGCTTATTCGAGTAAATTCGGTAACCTGATAAGGGTAGGCCTACCTCACATACGTAAACAACAACGACAAAACAAAACAACGAAAGGAAAACATATTAAAAAAGGAAGGGTAACACCCGCTAACCCGACGGACCAGGAACCCATCCTGAGACGGATTATAGGGAATATTGTTGATTTCCCTTCTGGTCACGGTAGGGGCGGGAAGGGAAAAAAAGCCGAACAAAAAATTTAGCAACAAAAGATGTGACATAAAACCAAACTCTTTCCAAGATCGAACATATACACGACCAGACTCTTTCTAAGACCGAACAGAGGATGAAACGTCTTTGCCAGGTCGAATACTCTAATAAAAATCTTCCACAGGTCGTGCACATTGCCAAAATCTGTCTAAGGTCGGAAACAAGACCAAATCTTTTTCAAATCGAAAGAAGGGCCAGAATCAGTCTTTCTGTGGCCGTCAACATACGACCCAAACATTTTCGTGTCGAACACGCGACAAAAATCTTTCTCAGGTTGAGCACACGACCAAAATCATTTTCAGGTCGAACACACGCGCGAAAAACATTCTCAGGTCGCGCACTCCACCAAAAAGGTAGACAAAGCAAGCATTACCGGAAAACAGAGGTAATAACTGAATAACATACAAACGCGGAATATAACCTGAGAAGAAACAGAAACCAAACCTGGATGAATGAGCCTAAATCTGCTTGGGGTTGTTGCATAAGAACTCGCTTGTTCAAGTACATGAGCTGTCAAAGAGGTTGTCCAAAGCTCCGGGGTTAGGTTCTAGAGGAACGGCCAAGTAAAATTTCTGTGGGTTCGGCGACGCGACAAGAAACTGACACGAAAGTTATGACCCGGCGTTACTTGGCAAAAGACACTGAAATCACGGGATAGATGGCTTAAATAGGCAAAAGGACTCCCCCCGATACTTCCACACGATTGTCTGCAATGGCCTGGGAGGCTACTGGTATACCAGCATTGAGCGCAGGCAGAATCCTTAGTTATTCTAACAGTGAAAATAGTGCTTATGATAATGATAACGCTAATGATAATGATAACGAATTAAAATAGAAGTTATCTAGTGAACTTTGGCAACATGATTAGGATATCAATTTTCATAAAAAATTACCGCATATTCCGCAGGTTACAGGGCAATTGTTTCTCATTGCAATTCCAGTGTCTGCATCTTCACAATAGTCGGCGTATTCTTTGCATGAAGCATGGGTGTCGTTACATGAAGTCTGTTCTGAAAACAAAAATGGCTTCAACATTTGAGATAATGTTAATGAAAAGATTAAGTATCTTTCAATTTAGCTGTCTCAATGGAAAGCGTTATGTCAGCCTTGTGGTATACAAAACTGCAAGTCTTCAAAAAAGCAGCTTTTAAGAAGTTCAGTTTAAATTCAGTTTATTGTTTTGCCATAATAATATACAAAAATAAAAATAAAAAAAATTCAAAATATTTAAAAAAGCTAATGGCGACATAGTTAATTGAGTGGAATGGTTATGAATCCCGTCAGACTCCTTTGTTATATTTTTTTTTGTGGGCCTGAAAGTGCACAACGTTGAAAAGCATTCCTTTCATGATTGTATTGACCAATGTAAAACGTTGCATTAACTTATTCCGTAACATTTTGCCAACAGAAAACAAAGGATTGTGCACTTTCAGCGTGCTTCCAACATAAACTGCAGCACTGTTGTTTTTATCATTGATGTTTGTCGCTTTTCATAACCATTCTCCTCGATCTAATAACTATGAGGCGAGGAAGCCCAAGGGAAGCCACCGGGCTTATGAGGAATGGGCTTCCTCAGTTAAATTATTACAACAAAATATCAATTACTGAGGTACAGTAAATCTTAAGATATATTAGATAATCGTATTAATCATAATTAGGCTAACAAAAGCGAAAGGAATTTAAAAAAAAAACTAAGAATAAAATGAAAATGAAAAGGAGAGATTAAGAAGAGGAATGCTTTCAGTTTACAGCAACAAGAAGCGGTAATTGTTACATTTCGAATTTTAAAACTAAGAGAGTTAAAGAATTCAGGACCTTGGAAACTGAAAGAGAACTTTCTTTCTTTCCTTCTTTCAAGCATCAAGCTAGCTATCTTGTGGATAGACGATTGACTGGAGTATTAGAGCCGTGTCAGAAAACATTAATTTCACTCCACAGAAACCACCAATCAATTTAAAATTCTTTTGTACTTGGATTTATTCTATGGTACTGTTCCTCCAAGGTTAAAGAATACAACTGATATCCATTTTTAGTTGTTAGTTGCAGTGTCATGGAATCGACATGGAAGGTTGCCCGGGCCACGTCCACACGAATCCGAATACTGGCGCTAAAACCACATACATACTTGATATTTGCATCAAGAGGAATACGGTGTGGTGTATCTGGTTTAGATTTACCCACTAACACGAATACGCTAAGGCGATTTACTTTGCTAATTACTGGCTAATAGGCATGCGCAAACAGAGCCAGCGATGTGATTTCGCCGCATTTTTGAGTATTGTTGTAGCTAAATCGACCACTATCGAGCATAATGGCCAGGCCTGCCTGTACCGTCGGCGCCAGGCACTTGTTTACCCTGGGCGAACCCTAAATCTTCTTTCAAAGAGGTTCAGACTGAAGGCGTTTTACACGACTTTGTCTCGAACTGAACGATTTCACAATCTGTATGAATTAAGTCTTGAAGTTTGAACTGATGTCGTCAAAACAGCAAAATTTATTTTAAAGCATGCAATAAGACTGGCAATATGAGCGAGAGCTGTAAACAGAAACATGGTTGTCTACCATTTTGAACTTGAAAATTTTCATTTAAGACTAGACCCGAGTTCATGACATAGTTGACGTCAAAAAGTTCCGGTTTCAGTCTTCCACACGCGAATTCACCAAACCCGTCGACTCCAAAAGAATCCGCTGTGCAAGACAGTTTCAAAAAATACAGTCGAACCTCCCGTAAGCGACTACCCAAAATGCAAAGTCTTAGTGGTCGCTTAGAGGAAGTGGTCGCTTACAAGAATCAAACCACGGGGCGCCTCTTCCAAGAAGAGGTCCGGGCACATCTGCTTTGCGAAAAATAATTATTGCATACAATTTTTAAGTTACGCCATGTATGGGTCCACGCCGTTACTAATTAGCTCTTTGTATATTCTAGGAAGCACAGTCCACACAGCGAAGTTAGAGATCAGAGAATGCGTCAAGTCGTCGCTTACAAGAGGTTAAAAATATTTAAAAAATCATTAAACTTTCAGGCCCAAAAAGTGGTCGCGGTCGCTTACAGGAGGTGGTCGTTTAGTAGAGGTTCCAACTGTAAGGCTTTGACTGGGAAAGTTTTGGTATTTTGGCTAAGAGATGGCTTACGAGAGGTGGTCGCTCATGGAAGTTCCCTGGTTTCGTGTGGACAGAGGGCTGATTCCTATATAAAAGTAGCGGTTTCAAAAGTATTCGGATACGTGTGGACGTGGCCTTTCCATAAGTCAGAATAGTCCAGATTCGAATTAAAAATTACCGCTGAATATAAACATTAACGACACAATCATACAGGGTTATCCTCGACGTAAAGTAAAATATTCAGAAATTCTGGCAAGTAAGTATCCTTACTTTGCCTATTTATTACTTGGATTTTTTCAGTTGTATATTGGTACGTGTGCGTGCGCAATTTAATTTTGGGCGCGTGCATTATTTATTTATTTACTTATTTATTTATTTAAGTTGCGTGTACATTTAGTACGTTTAATAACGTCTTAGTTTTACTTTGCGTTATTTTGCTCACTTATATGTGTTGTCCGCGACTGTGCTCACACGGTGGGTGGCTCCTTCTAAAATGTTCTGCAATTGGTATAGGATTTAATGGGGCCGAAACCAATTGTGGAATTGCACGTTTTTTAGGCATCCTACTTATGAACAGTTGGGACACGTAGATATATTTTTTGGCAACTACTATAATTTTCAGTCTGTCTACTTTGAATACAGATTTCAGTAGCCGGGGCTAAAAAGCGAAGCTCTCGTTAACATGCCGATAGTTTTGTGAATAACAACAGGAAAACCTTTGAACGTGCAACTAGCACACCTTTGTGCATTTTGTTGCCCTTGTTTTGCACGACTACAAAGTGAAACTTCTTATAGTTACAAGTTTGGTAGACGAAATAATGTCGTATGTGTTCATGTTCGCCTTTTTATCACTGTCGCTCATTTTTACCTTGGTCAGAGCGTCAGGAGCAGTGGGCTCCTGTAAGCGCTGTTTGTTGAACAATTCTTAGTCTGAGGACTACAATACTCACCACTTGTTGTATTTGATGTTGAATTTTCTGAAGTTACTGAGACAAAGAAAAAAGAAAGAATCAATGGGTCGGTTATTTAAACAAAGTCTCACTTAGGCTGCGCGGTTTAAGAAATAATTGGACCTACAAATCCCTTTCTTAATATGGTGGGTTAATGTAAGAAAATAAGTTCTTTTCCAGTCTCCGCAATAAATGCTTTTTGGAAATTGTTAGCGATAAATGGTGTTTAGATAAAAGCGTTGGGCAAACTGGCAATGGCTTAGGGCACTGTTTTTGTTACACACGGGCTACACTCCGTTTAAATAACTGACCCAGTATGTCTATGGGCAGTTAAACTCTGAAACGAGTTTCTTTTCGGAACAACAAGCTCACTCGCTGTGATCTGTTATCATGTTTAATAAGTTAGCTGTTCACTCAATTTCATATCAAACCAGCCGAACTTACACCATGGCCTATAACAAGGAAAGATTCTCCACTAGATCCGGGCAAAGGTTTGAATCGCGTTTGTTCATATACCTCATTAAGCCTATTCGTTTGTTTGTTTTTGCTGTTGTTTTTTAAATTCCTTTACATAAAGTACTCTTTGTATTATAGAGGGGGTGTATCGGTTCAATGCCACTCACGCCCTCCCCCCATTGTAGACGGGCCTGCTGCCAGCCTAGTGTACGAGACTGTGGAATATGTGTTCCGCAGTCGTGACAACGTGACACATTTTCATTGGGAAAGTTTTAAACAAAATTATGACACTATGATGATGCTGGCGTGACATCAACCTGTCGTTACTTACTATATATGAAGTTGATGCCAAGTCTCTCGTCGTCCGTGAGATTCATATTTTGGTTATAGGGCTTGTATGTTCCATGCATAATGGCGTCAGATTTAACGGAATGCTTTAACCCTAGAAGATGGCCAATCTCATGAAGAGCAACAGAGAAAAGATTTTTCCCAGTTGAAACTCCATCAGTAAAGGTCTCGTCGTCATCAAAGTGCGCGTCTCCAGATTCAGGAAAAAATGAATGAGCCAATACTCCATTCTCGCCATCGAAATCATATGAACATGGACTGTGATGACGGGTAAAAAACCTACAGTATGAAAATTTAACCAAGATAAAAGAGACCTTTTTTTAATGACGGGCCGATTACGATGACGAGATTTTTTTTTTACAGAGTCGTGCGCGTGAACCAGCGTCAATTTTGGCGGGAAAACGTTATAGCCGTCGTCATTCTATCACACAGCGAGAATGTCGTTGTGGCTTTGACAAGTTATGTTATATACGTTTTACCATTTATCATCATTCTTCTTGAGCACAAAATGCACAGAGTCGATTTTTTTGAGAATATGGCCACCGGCCGGTCGGTCGGATCGAAAAAAAAAACTTAAAATAAAATCACAAGAAGTCTCGGAATAGGAGGCCCTGGTACCCTGGGACGATGTTAAAAGTTAACTTTCACATAATTGGATTATCAAAATGTACAATTTGCTTTAAAAAATGTTCCTGTTTTTCTCTATGCTGTTACTATGATCATTTTTCAGATAGATTAAAAGAATTATTTCAAGTGAAAAATGGTTTAACTACGTCGTTACTTTTTTTTTTTGAAAATGCCAAAAATTTGGGTCGGTCGCACTATGCTAAAAGGAGAAAAAAAAGAGAGAATGGCCTATGCGGAAAAAGAAAGTGAAACGTTTCCTCGTAGTAATAGTCGTCCTCGGCGAATAAAGAAATAGAAGTTAAATAATCTGTGGGTAGGCTAGAAAATTATTGAACCAGATAAAGGTCAACTTACGACACTGTGATATCGGAGGAATTACTGAGGGAAGCGTTATCTGTAACATCTACAAAGGACAAAGGACCGATCTCTTGCCACTGTGTAAAGGCCTTTCTGAAAATTTTACGCTGCTGTGTTGAATTCAGCGTTCCATTTGAGGCATAGTTGTGGAAGCTGTATGTGAGATTCCTTTTTTTCCATTTGTCCCCAGAAACGGAAAACCGTTTAACTCTTCCTAAAACATCATGTTTGAAAGTCACTGCGTTGGACAATGCAAGTATCATCGAGTCATGGATTATATCATAGATAGACTATGTTAGCACCCATTTGATTGGTGACGATAAAATATATATAATAGCGCGAGGTGATTATATCACAAACCAGTGGGTACAAGATCGGTGATTAAATCGTGAACAGAGAAAAAGTTTGGGATATGAGAAGAGAACACTTGTAAGAAGAAGAAGACCGTGATGAAAATTGTTCCTTTTAACGTTTTGTCCCTTACTCAAATTATCAAGCCGGCATATACGTATTACGTTTCCTGTTATTAGTGACCTTAAGATACACCGTTTCAACCTACGAGTACGGGTAAGCGAACATGCTTACCTCACAGTTTTATAAAGGGCAACCATTATTTCCTAGATGTGATAATGGGGAACCCACTCTAAGCGGTAGTAGCCGCTTCTCCCGCGTAAGAGCAATCTACCCGTATTTAGGGCTACGTGCACCGTAATTTTTAGGGAGTTATTATAACTCCAAAAATGGAGTGAAATTTTTAGGTACAGGATAACCCCTTTTTTGGGGTTATTTTAACTCCTACTTAGTTTAACTCCGAATTTGGGGTCATTTTTACTCCTGAAAAAGAGTTTTTTTTACTCCCAGTCTGCAGTTAAAATAACTCCGAAATGGGGTTACTTTTACTCGTTACATGGGTTGTTTTTACTCTTTTTGGAGTTAATTTAACTCTGAAAGTGGAGTAAAAATTTTAGGTACAGGATAACTTCTTTTCTGGGGTTCTTTTAACTCCTCAATATCTGGGCTCACTTTTACTCCCGAAAAAGAGTTCTTTAAACTAACTTTTTGGGGTTAAAATAACTCCCCCAGAAAAAACTCCACTGTAAGGAGTGCTAATTTACCAGTATCCGCCTGTACACGGAAACGGTATATCTTAAGGTCTCTATTCACTAAAAAGTGAAGGAGTGGACTGTCTTTATAATGCTTCAGGATAATAAATATGGCATTCTTAGGCAAAAGCCATAAATATACCACATTCTCTGTCAGTCATATTAGGCAAAATTAAAAAACAGACAAATAAACAAAGAAAACGGCACAGACCACAAGAGAAGCATATGAAGTGCTAGAAGCCGAATGATCGCCTAAAATTGTCGCCTTTACTGCAGGGTTTCATTTCTGTATTTACCAGATTCTGAGTTCTCTTCCTCATCAAGATCTGGGACACCGCATCTTGGTTTGTGCATTTCTTTGATAGTGGCAGCATCCAGGTGACCTGTCTCAGGGATTTCAGACCGTTGCTGAAACAGCCTTAGAGCGTCTTTGAGATTATGATTTCCATCCTTGAGCGGTGACAAGTAAAGGTATTGTTTGAGAAATTTCTAGTTAAAAATGATCAAAAATATGTTTTGCGTCACGATGAATTAAAAATAAAGCAACATCGGCGAGTAGTATAGTACATGGCGGCACCGGCGCATATCATATATGGGGTACCGGCGCATTTCCATATTGGGGGATTTTGTTGACGTCAGCATTTTTGGATCCGGTTTGAACCGGTTTTGGGCGGTTTGTCGAGACTTAAAGAAATAGCGCCGCATACTAGTATGCAGATGGTGCGTTCAAATAAAAATAATTTTATCCATAGTAATAATATGAAGACTAATCGTAATGAAGTTATAAGAAGATTATTATCTGGAATTACAAATGATGACCTCCAAAACTTAGTTCGAGTACGGGAAGAAGCAAGACGCCCTATTCCTACTCCACGAAAAAGAATTCCTACCCCTTCCCCACGAAAAATGGGGGTCAAGCAATTAATCCGTTATTTTGAAAATAATAACCTATACAAACCACCAAGACCAATTCCAGCTCCTAGAACAAAGAAACAACAACCAGTAGCAGCACCGAGGACAAAAATTGGTGAAAAACAGAGGGCGCTCAAAGGTTTCACCAAATCATATGAGATCGGTTTGAAGACTGATAGAGATGCTTTGGTGCAGCTTCAAAATACGAGACTAGCAATTAGTAGATTATTTAACACTATACTTAATAATACAAAAGGTTTCAAATTTGTGGAGACGTTAAAAGTAACCTTTGTGAAGAGAAAGGATGATGATAATATTTATAAGCCAGCTTATTTCAATAGTAGAGTGCAAATAATAATTAATCCTAATTATTTTTTATCAAGTTTGCAATTATCACAGCAACAAATATTAAACGGTATTGGTGTTTGGTTGTCTGAGGGCAGTGGTTGGACTGTTAGTAGTATTAATGAGCATTATATAAATACAATAGTGTATGAGCCGATGAGAGGTAATTCCTATATTCCTCTACCGGTAAAATTACAGAATTCTGCTAAGGGGTCAATTAATCTTCAAAATAAGGATAATGAATGCTTTCGCTGGTGTCATATACGATATTTGAATCCGCAAGAAAAGGATCCCCAGCGGATCAAAAAGATTGACAGAAAAATGGTCCAGGAATTAAATTACCCAGGAGTAGAATTCCCTGTCGCTGCTAAACATTATGGCAAAATAGAAGAGCAAAATAGCATTAATATTAATGTGTTTGGTTATGAGAATGAGCAATTTTATCCAATTCATGTCTCAAAGCATAAAAACGAGAAAGTATTGAACCTGCTGTTGATTACACAGGGAGAGAAGCAACATTATGTTTTTATGAAGGATTTTAATAAGATGATGTACAATAAGACTAAACACCAACACCGTAAACATTTTTGTATGTTTTGTCTCCAGTGTTTTAGCACTGATGAGATACTAGCAAAACATAAGAGCAATTGCATGATAATAAATGGGGAACAGGCAATAAGGATGCCCGAGGAGGGCAGTACGGTCCAATTTCAGAACTATCATAAGCAGATGCCAGCACCTTTTGTAAATTATGCAGATTTCGAGGCAATTACAGAGAAAGTATCTGGATGTCAACCAGATGGTGTTAAATCTTATACTGATAAGTACCAAAAGCACACTGGCTGTAGTTATGGTTATAAAGTAGTCTGTTGTTATGATGACAAATATTCAAAACCGGTGAAAATTTATCGAGGGGAAATCTATTAGCTACTTCATATTGGATATGCTCTCGGAAGTAGAATATTGCCAAAAAATGATTGCTACTGAGTTCCAAAAACCACTCCAGATGACGGACGAGGAGGAAGAATTATTCAAGGTTGCCGAGGAATGTTATATTTGTGGGAAGAAATATTTAGATAATGAAGTAAGA